ATTAAGTATAATATGTTAAAATTTAAAGAAATAACTTTATAAATAGAAGTAAATATATTATTTTAAAATTGAAATTTAGTCTATTTATGATTACAGTTTAAGTTTGATATTTATTTAACTTTATTAACCAACTTACAATCATTATTAAAAAGACACAATAATTTATCGTTTTTAACTATTTATAAAATAATCTTTGGGTTGTTTAAGTTAAAATAAAATTTATATTTAAGTTGAGCATATAATGTTATATTTTAATTAATAATGTAAGTATTTTATACAAATTGTTCAAAAATTATACCTTTAAAATGATAATGGTTTACATCCAACAATATATTAAAGCTAATAAATTAAGTATAATATGTTCAAAGTTAAAAAACATAATTTTATAAGTAGAATTAAAGATATTATTTTAATATTGAAATTTCTATAATGTTATATTTTAATTAATAATGTAAGTATTTTATACAAATTGTTCAAAAATTATACCTTTAAATTGGTAATGGTTCACATCCAACAATATATTAAAGCTAATAAATTAAGTGTAATATGTTAAAAGTTAAAAAACATAATTTTATAAGTAGAATTAAAGATATTATTTTAATATATAAATTTAGTTTATATATGAATACACTTTAGATTTGATATTTATTTAACCTAATTACCAAATTATAATTATTATTATAAAGAAATTGAAAAGTCATGGTAGTTTCAAATGGATGTGGTGAAAGAAAAAAAAGAATGGAGGTTTCAAATGCATGAGATTCAAGAACAAATGCTAGCTTTATATATATATATATATATATATATATATATATATATATATATATATATATATATATCTATTCTAATAAAAGAATAAGTTTAATCTCATATTAACAAGTGTCATGCAATTAGAACCCCTCATTAATGCTATATATCATTTATCATGCCATTTGTCAACCTATTAATTATTCATTTCAAATTTCAAATTTTAAATTCTCCACTCTAATTTTATTAAATTAATAATTGATTCTTCATTTTAAATTTCAAAATTTAAAATTTCCCCCTTTAATTATATTAAATTAATAACATTAGATTAAAAAATAAAATAAAATTAATATAAATTATAAAATGATATAACTTCACGTATTTATTTAAATCAATGATTATAATTTTATATAACTAAAAAATATCTCTTAAGTAATAATTTATTTAGAATAAATGTATAACAATTTTGATTTTTTAATACAAAAGTTTAATTAATTTTATAACTGTGGTTATCACGGATTATAAACTAATATATATATATATATATATATATATATATATATATATATATATATATATATATATATATATATATATATTATAACTGTATGCATATACATTACTTTTTTGAGGTAACATTTTTATCAATGAACATAGAAAAAAAAATATGATTTTATATCTTTTTAGATAGTAGTACATTTTTTTTATAATTAATGATATTAGGTTTTTGAAAAAAAAAACAAGAATAAAAAAACTGTTAAAAATTTATTTGGAATTTTTTTATTAAAATTATTAATTTGTAATAAAGTTAGTAATAAAATTGTTATTGATTTTTAATATGCTTATAACGAATACAAGACGCTTGAGTTCAAAATGACATGTCTTTTATTAATAAAAGAAAATTGGATCTTGATACTTTATTTCCGACGTTCAAAAAAAGTTTAATAAAAGAAAATTTATATATATATATATATGTAATAAACTTCTTCTTCTTCTTTTTTTTTTTTTTTTTCTTTTCTAATAAAAAAAATATCAATTTTTAGTAGTATCATCCATAAAAAAGTTTATAACGAACCTCCAAATTTAACATGAAAGTTTGAAAATCATATATATATATATATATATAATATATATATATATATATATATATATATATATATATATATATATATATATATATATATATATATATATAGAGAGAGAGAGAGAGAGAGCGCTAGGTTTAAACGTGGATTGATATCTATTGTGTTGACGTGTGGATAATGTTATTCTGTGAGAATGACAAACAAAATTTATTGTTTGATAATATAAATATGTTCAATCTTATATAATTCTTATAATTATTACGTATTTTCACTAATTAAATCGTCTATAAAGTTATTATAGAGTATTTTTAATTATTATCATTCTGTCATAAAATTTATCAGGATGTTTATTGAGTCGTATTCTGTAAGAATAAAAATAAATAAAAAACGATGAATAAGAACAAAAATAAATTAGAATTAGTGAGAATCCATTAAAATAACAATAGTTCTGTAAGATTAAACGTATTCAAATTAGTAAATAATATATATTCTCTTAGTAATTCTCATAAAATAACATTATCCACATTATTTATATATATATATATATATATATATATATATATATATATATATATATATATATATATATATATATATATATATATTGTGTTAAATACATATTATATTGCAACATTATTGAAATGTAAAAAAAGAAAAAACTATTTGTTATATATATATATATATATAAAAGAGAGAAAAAAAGAAAAATATATTTTTCGGAAAACAATGTAAGTAATAATTTATTAATTGTAATGACTAGTTTAGGTATATTAGATTAATGTTTAATAGAATGGTGTGTCTATAGTAGTACCCAAAGTTTATTAATCATCAATTTTAATTTTTGGTTAACCTTTAGAATTTAAAAAGTTAATAAACTTAGAGGCTTAGACCAATTTATAAACATATATCAATGGATTTTGGCTTACATGAAATGAGTCAAAAGGATTGGAACTAACTCTATTCACAAAATTAAACAATTATTGTAATGTTTAGGATTTTATAATCTTAATAAAAAAAAAAAAAAAAAAAAAAAAATGGGGAAATTACTCTTTATAGGATACTTCAACCCCATCGACCCCAAAACAAGGGATAATGTCACTGTAGCACATGGAACTTTTAACATTTGGCTAATTTGGTCCTTAAAGTTTTTTTTGGTACATTAGACCATTAAACTCGTAACTGACCTTTTAATTACACCATTTTAGAAGGTTTCCCGGTTACAATGCTTATGTGGCACGCCGATGTGTCCAATAATCTTACGTGGTCCAGTTGTCGATACAGGCTTATTAATTGAAACCCTCATTCGGACCTCCTTTCAATCTTTACTTACCCTTCTCTGAAAAGTCAAAGACTTCTCCCTCCCCGACTATTTCCATCCTGAAGAAGAATGTCTTCGAGCTCATCGACGTCAAGGAATCAGCTACAAGTCACTCATGTTCAGTCGCAAGAAGGGGTAAAGGTTTGTGATTGTGTCGTTCCAGCTAAAGAACGAACCTGTTGGAAGATAACAAACATTGGGAGGCGATTCTGGAATTGTCAAAACAGTATGGTAGGTCCCGATTCTCTTGATTTTGATAAGTTAGTATTTTATGGTTTGATGTATTGTTTCTATCCGTAAAAACGACAATGGTGTATTTGTATTTTGTTTCATCTGTTAAAAACCCTAATTTTATTTCCTTCTTGACGATCACTGTGAATAAAACCCATTTCGCTGGTACATTAAAGGTAGTTGATTTGTGATTGTTAGTCAAACCCTAATTTTATTGTCTTTTTATAGACTAGGTTGAGGAAATGTAGCTTCTTTGAATGGAAAGATGAAGAACAGGCAGACGGGTACTACAAAAACCTACTATATTCTATGAAGCAGAAAATGGATGCCAAAGATGAAATGTCTTAGATGAACAAATTGAGGAGAAGGATTGCTGAAGTGGAGTTTCTGCTGTCACAGGAGCAGTATAAGGTGGCAAAGAGTGAGAAAGAAGTTCATGATGCAATGAAGGCAATAGGCAGGTACAGGATGATAGTTGCCCTGTTGGTTGGTTGCTTGGACCTATGTGTTTTGAAGTTAGGGGGGTCAATGTAGTTAGTTTGGTTAGTTAGGGTAAGCTTTTGTTTTTTTGGGATCCCTTGTATTTTTTGTAAAGGCGGACTAGAAAGTCAGTTCCATAAGGGCATTTTGTATGTATTGAAGCTGGTTTTAGTTATAAGTTGGGGTTATCAACCTTAATGTGTTGATGTTGTAAGGTGGTAAGTCCCTAATGAAAGGGCATATGATAAGTAATGTAAAAAAAATATTCAAAGTCCCAATTGTAGGGCATTTTGTATAATCAGATGATGTTTATCAAACATATGCATGGTCTATATTCCCAACAAATATATTTAATTAGGAAGTGGTCCATGTGGAAGTACACTATGTGAATGGGGACCATTTTAATAATGAAAAAAAGGGACCTGTGAAGCATTAAAAAACCAAATCCGGGGCCATATAAAACATCCCCATGCATGCACATTATTCCAATTTTTTCCATGCATAAATATTCAAAGTCAAATGTTATGATTTTACTTAAAATGGTAACATACTTTCGTACTTCATGTCATACATAAATAAATGACCAACATACCCTTTTCTTGCATACATAAATAAATGACCAACATATCCTTTTCTATCATACATAATTAAATGACCAAATTACCCTTTTCTTACATACATAAATGAATGACCAAATTACCCTTTTCTGTCATACATACTTAAATGACCAAATTACCCTTTTTCTTGCATACATAAATGAATTACCTACATACCCTTATCTGTTATCAATAAATAAATGACCAAATTACCCTTTTTTGTCATAAATACGGAATGACCAAATTACCCTTTTCTTGCATACATAAATGAATTACCTACATACCCTTATTTGTCATCAATAAATAAATGACCAAATTACCCTTTTCTGTCATAAATACTTAAATGACCAGATTACCCTTTTTCTTTCATACATACTTAAATGACCAAAATACCCTTTAATGTCACACATACTTATATATAAATTACCAACATCCTATTACATAAACTTTAAATATAACTTAACATCATCCTATTACATAAACTTAAAATCCAATTTATCATCATCCCATTACATAAACTTTAAACACAAATTACAATAAACACTAATCAATTACAAGAGCTTTTCCCTTCGAATTTCCTGGATCATCAACACCACCAATTGTTTTGCCTAATTTCAGCTTCAGTATTCTCTCTGACTTTCTTCTTCTTATCCTCTTCAAAATATCTGAAATTGGCCTAACACAAACCTGCTGAACTTGGTTAACAGGAGCAACCTCCTGAACATTACCATTATCCACTTGGGCATTAGGATTAACCTCCTCAACCTCCTGAACAGTTACATTATCAACTTGGATAACAGGATCAACCTCCTCAGCCTCCTCATCTTAAACAACTTGCTCAACCACAACAGCTTCCTCAACCACATCAGCTTCCTCACCCATAACACCCTCATCACCTTCATAACTTCTAGGTGGAGTGAATTGCACATATTGAATAAAATCCCCTGCACTACTAGATTCAACATCAGTAAGAGCAACTTGCATATCATTTTGAGTAGTATCCATCTCAATTGGAGTCATTTCAACCTCTTCATGTTGTTGTGGTTCACTTGTACTACCCTACATGGCATGATATAATTATGTTAGTAACAAATTATATCTAATTAATCTTATATTTTAAATTGTTTTACCTGTCCTGCATTTTGGTTCACACATACTTTTTGTTTCTTCTGTTTCTTCACATTTAACTTTTGGGGCCTTCTCTGTGGACAAGTGGCCTTGTTGTGACCTATCTCCTTGCAAATACTACATCTGATTTTCTTTCCAGCCTTAGAAACCCTGTGTGTTCCTGTATTCTCTGTAGTGGATTTCTTCCTCTTAGTAGTTGGCCTACCAGGCATCCTTCTATTAATAGGAGGCAATGGTGGAGTATAGTTTGTCTCTGGCCACATGTCACTGCTATTCATGGGAGCAATTCTGTAATTGTATGCCTTTGTAAATGTGGTTGTGCTAAACATGTTGTCTACATAGGCTTCTACATCCCTATTAAGAAAGGATATGCTAGCTACAGAATGAGCACATCCATATCCATTCAATTGCCACAACCTACATGAGCATGTTTTTCTTTCTAAGTCCACCTCATATGCATCTATTGCTCCCCTTACCTCAAACTGGTTTAATCCACTTGGTAGTACCTGATAATGCCTTTGAGCTTTTTTAAGCGAATTCACCTTATTCCTTATCTCTGGACAAATATGATTTCCCTATTGTTGTCCCTTTAATTTCATGTTGTAGATTCTGTCCATCATGTATAATCTTATCTCCTCTAACATGGTTATTATGGGCTTCTTCCTAGCATCTACTATTACAGCATTAAAACTTTCTGAGAACCCATTTTCAACTGCATCACAACACCTTCCAGTTTGAAAAAAAGCTCTAGACCATGTTTTAGGATCTTTCTCCATGAGATATTGATGGGCTTTCTGGATTCAATGTCTCAATTTCTTTCATCACAACTTTAAAAGCATGCTCAGTTGTGGCTTTAGATGCTCTCCAAAACAAGGTATGATATATGGCACCAGTAAATCTCTTCTGCAAATTCTGGCAAATATGTCTAGCACACTACCTGTGCTCTACATATGGCAGCAACTCTTTAACAGCCTCTATCAAACCCTGTATTAGTAAAAAGGTTAAATTCAGATAGTCTAAAATTAACATAAATGCATTACTATGTAAAATACTAACCTTATGTTGGTCTGACATTAAACTGAAACCATTGCCTAAATTCAAGTGTAGATCATCAATGAGAAGCTCTAGAAACCACTTCCAATTCTGCTTGTTCTCCACATTAACCACTGCCCAAGCAATAGGATATATCTTGTCATTTGCATCCCTCCCAATAGCACAAAGCAATTCTCCCTTACAAACACCTTTAAGAAAACATCCATCTAGACCAATTACCCTTCTACACCCTTCAATCCAACCTTGTTTAACTCCTTGAAAACAACAATAGAACTTGCTAAAATATTTCTTTCCATCTGGCCCATCCTCCATATCTAGTTTCACAGTTGACCCAGGATTTGTCCTTAAAATCTCATGACCATATGACCATAGCTTACCATAATGTTCAACAAGGTTTCCTTCAACAAGTTTCAGTGCATACTTCTTTGCTCTTCTACATTGCCCCATACTAACTTGGATACCAAACTTGGCCATTACCTTTAACCTAAGCTTCCTTACACTTATTTTCTGACTTTCTACAATCTCTTTGGTATAGTGACTCCCAATCCATGCATATGTCACCAATGATCCAAACTTGAAGTTCCTAGCACAATTATGATCAGCTTTTAGTGACTTGATTTGGAAACTCTCTTCATCACTCATCCAGGAAGCCCATAATCTAAATGTGCAAGCACCTTTGCTACACCTCACCAAAAGTCTTGTCCTATCATTTTTTTCAAAACACAATTGATATCCATTAGCTACAGCATAGTTACACAACATTGATTTTACTTGCCCTGGACCCTTAAATCTCATCCCTAGAATTGGTTTTTGTTTTTTCCAGTGTAATAGCTCATTAAATATGGAATGAGCTTGTATGTTAACTTCAACTTCTCTCCCATTTCATCATCTACAATGTTGTTTGCATCCTCATCATCAACACATAGCTTACTCAAGAAAGGATCATTTGATGTCCTATTCATATGCACTACATCCTCATTAAATTCAAAGGAACATTTCTAAGTTCATCTATGTTGTCTTCATTTTCACCATCAATACAAGACTCATGTTCATCATCATCATTATCTTCATCATCATGCCACCCATCAACACCAACCCCAATATGATCCACATAAACCGAAATTACACCATCTGTTCCATAAGCATCAAAAATAAAAGCAGAATATTCCACATCATCTGAAATGGGATTAAGCCCTTCCATGAAGGACATGTCTGGTTCACAGTAGTAAAACTTTTTACACTCTTCATGCATGAAACGTTCGCAGAAGGTCACAAACTCAGAATAAGTCATAGAAGAAAAGTCAACATCATTGAAGATGGTTTTAACACACCAGTGTAAGAGAAAGGATTTCGATTAAATACCCCTTGGTAGTTGAGTTCCACCATCGCAAACAGTCCATTAGGTTCCGATTGTGCCATTGCTGCGAGTTCTTTGTTTCTTTCAGCTCGATCACAGGAATGCTTCACAAACCCTAAATCAGTTTCTTTTACAGCTCAATAATGAAGAAAAGACTAGTGAAGTTCGATAGCTGAAGACGAAAGGCTTTAAGCGTCGTATTTCATTAATTGAGTGGCATATCTCACGTGGCATCGGATTAGACAAAAAATATATATTAATTGACAAAATGGCATCGTATAACCGGGAAACCTTCTAAAAGTTGCTAAAATGGT